CAGCACTTGATGATGAACTTGTGGAATTAATAACCAGACGCTCTGGTTTAACCATAGGGTTTCCATCGGTCTCTAGCTTGGAGGCATCATCCTTTTCCTCAGAGTTCATACTTGTGTTGCTCTCATAAGCCACATTCTCAAAAAATTTCCTCAAGAGAATGGTTTTTCCATCGACTTTCACCCTTTTGAAATTAGCTTTGGGTTTTGAATAAAAGTCGGGTTTTTGAATACATCCAAGTTTGAAAGTGGATTCAAGGGTGGATTTCTTGCTTACAATGAAAGAGTCAAGATCATTGAATCTGATTCCTTGGTAATCCTTTTGTCCATTTAGTTTTTCATGAACATCTTGGGCATCTTTGTATTTCTTCATCAAGAGTTCATTGGTTTGAAGCTTCTGATGAAGAATTTTCCTTAATTTTTTAAAGAAATCCTTAAGAGCTACTGAATTAAGTCGTTCTGCCTCAGATTCTTTCAAGGCTTTTACCTTCTTCTCTGAATCTTTAGTTATTCTCTTGTTCAGATCCATAAGTTTTTCTTCCTCTGATTTTTTTCAATGATGCAATGCAAGTTTTTTCCTTAACAAGTTTATCCTTTTCTTTAGTGAGAAGATCAGTCTCTCTTTTGTATAAACTGACTTCTTTTTCAGATTTTTCAAAATTTAGTTTTTCTTTTAGTTTGAGAAAATCTTTTGAAAGTTTAATGACCCTTAACTCTAACTCTGATGGAGTAGAGTTGGTTTCATCGAGGGAAGAATCACATACCTGGTCATCGGAGTCGGAAGTCGGTTCTGCATTGGACTTGGCCATAAGGCATATCAGTGCCTTGTCTTCTTCATCAGACGAAGAATTGGACACCCAGTTTTCTTTTTCATCCATCAAGCTTCGCTCTTTAGGATTGTACTTGTACTTATTCTTGTAGTAGTTTGCATCTTGACCAGTCGTCCTTTGCACTCCTTGGAAAAATGTCCTATTTTTTCACATCAGTAGCAGTGAAGACTATCTTTCCTTCCGTCTCCTTCTCTTTTGTCATCTCTCCTTTCTTCTCTGTCTTCTCTTCCTTCTCTTCTTTTATCATTTTGATTAAATTTCAGAGACTTCTATTCATAGGATGGCTGATATCTTTCTTTCTTGGAGTCTCTTCGGCTATCTCTTTCATAGGGCTTCTTGACGAACTTTTTCTAGAATTGCTTGGTTATCAAGGCCACAGATTTGGCAAATTCCTTGAGATCATCATCAAATTCAGATGCTTCTTCTTCGGAATCTGACTCAACGACCAATGCCTTCTTGCTCTTTTTTGTGATCTTTAGAAGAGCTCCTTGTAACCTCTTTCTCTCTTACGGCTAGGGCGAGGGGTCCACCGATGGACACCTTCCTTTTCAAAATATTCTTTTCTTGAGCAGCAAGAGTTCCATAGACGTCATGAAGTGACCAACTATCTAAGTCCTGATTTTCTTGGAGGGACATCGACAGTTGAGTCCACTCATCGCCGAGACTTTTGAGCAAAAGGACGTTGTTTTCCTCTTTGGTCCTAGCAATGGCAATTCTGTGGCATTGATTTATCAATGTGTTGAAACGATCATATATCTTCTGAATCGATTCATCAGGCAATGCCTTGAAATTTGTATATTTATTAAAGCATTGCGCCCTTCGATTCTTCTTCGTCTTAGCGCCTCCCTCCAGTTGACTAGCCAATTCATCCCATATCTCCTTTGCTGTTGTACAAGCATCGAGAGATTGGAATATGTCATTTGGAATGGCCATGATGATCAGCTTCTTGGCCTTCCTGTCTGCTTCTACCCTTTCGATGTCATCTTCATCCCAGTTGCTCTCATCTTTTACCATGTAGTAAGCAGCAACTTCAGCAGTGGTAGTTGTTCCAGGAACTCTTGGAACAAGAGTTTGAGGAACATATGGGCCTTCCATAACAGATCTGAGGAGATTTTTATCCATCCCCTCCAGGAAGTTCATCATACGAATCCTCCATTATGGATACTCTTCACGTTGAAGAGTTGGAGGTTTGGTGAGGGAACCCAGACTATAAGCAGAATTCCAGTTGGCCATTAAGAAGTTTTGGAAGAGAAGAACACGATTTTTTGAATGGAGAAAATTGAGAGATTATGAATATTCAGATTTAAATTGATCGTTTTGATTGAAAATCAATCAATTTGCTCTGATACCAATTGTTGATCCCAAATCTCTCAATAACATTAAGATTCAAGTTATGAAGAACCTAAATCTGTCGTATGGATGGATAATAGTGAAGAACAACTCAAGAATATTCAAAGAATAATTGGAGTGTCAAATGATTCACTATTATTGATTTAATGAATTGGAAGCGTAAACGATTACAAGAAATATAAAGGCTATTTATACTAGTAATCTAATTAAGGAGATAACTATCTAGAGAAGGATATCTATAAGATATTCTAAGAAAAGATATCAATCTAGAAATACGGAAAGAATATCAATTTATATAAAGCAATGGAAATCTAGTTGTCGATTTGTCATCTCCAACTGTCTTCTTGGAGGAGCGTTCAACCAAGAGTATTTATGAGTCTTCTTGAGTGAATATCTCTGGTTGAACTAATTCTTGAATCCTCCAAGTGTTAGAGACCAGAGGAGTTATTGAGATGCACTGTTCATCACACCTATGGACCTTCATCGCATCTCTGGTTGGCCTGGACACTTAGAATTTCTTTTTGTTTTTCTTCCATCGACCCTCTGCACTTCCACACTTGTATGTTTTTCATTACTTTTACAGTAAGAATGATGGGGTCTAACAATAATAAAACTTTCTTCAAAAAATTTCTACATCTTTCATTTGCCTTTATCATGAGATGTTGGATGACCTGCAGAACCAATTATTACAACAATTGAGGGTTAGACCGAGAGGTCTAGTGAGTGAATTACCCTCTTACCAACATAATCTATTGCAAATTCCAAGATAATTCAAACCTGAGTTTTAACGTTAAATTAGCGTTTTGAATACCCCACCATTTCTTTTATCGCGGTTATACTGTCATTTCATCCATAACCATAATTTGAGTGATGAAGTTTAATCTGGACAATTCTTTATTAATGAGAGGTCTTACCAGACAACACTTAGTCCTATCCAGACAACACTTAGTCCTATCCAGACAGCACTTTGACCGGTGAAGAGTCCTATTCGGACAACATTTTGACCGGTGAAGAGTCTTATCCGGACAATGCTTTGATCAATGAAGAGGTTACCGGGAACACATGATTGGTGTTACCAGACAATGCTTTGATCGATGAAGAGGTTACTGGGAAACACATGATCGGTGAAAGGTTATTGCCGAACAATGCTTTGGTCGATGAAGGGGTTACCGAGCAACATATGATCGGTGAAGGATCCTCATCAGATGATGATTTGTCCGATGAGGGAACTCATCGGACGATACCTTGTTCGATGAGGGTTCTCCTTAGGTAAGCCTTATGCGATGAAGGTAAACAACATGATTGATGTATAAATACAGTTTATAACCATATATTATAGTTCGGCCATGAATAATGCAGAATCGTAATAATCTTATTTACCCAAAACAGTATAGGAGCGCTCACCTTTGCCTATACTAAGATGGAATCACTACTTCTGCCTTTTGTCTTCTTCTTCCTTTGATAATAATTTCCAAAGTCAACACTCTCTCAAAGAAAATTTCCCAAAACTCTTTACAACCACCTTCACTTACTATATAAATATAAAGAGAGAATTGGGGAGGTGCATAAGCAGGCACCTACCCCAAAATAACTTAACCAATACTTACTATATAAAAGAAATCACAAGTTGATCCCTCAACAACCCTTAAACACCATATTTTACCTTGAACTCTCCATTACTATTTTTCTTCAAAATCTGACCAAACATATTTCGAAACCGAATATTATACTTACACATTTTTGGCATCCTATAAACTCGATTTTGTTGTAGTGATCTTACTCTTGGTATCGGTCCTCCTTTTGGAATCCGATGTTATATCGTTAATTGGCAGGCTAATTGTTCTATCTTACTGTTAGTTCACCTAACTTAGCTATGTTGTTTATAGTGTTAGTCGGTGCATGCGTGCTTCATGCTTTGATTATTACGTAGTTGTTCTGCGGATTCTTCAGTATCTCAAAGATAAGTCGTTTCATGATTATATTTTACTTATACATCCTTATTAATTCTAATAGGTTAATTATTCGAATGTTGATTCGGATGTTGATTTGACTCACCACCACTCCGTTACGGGCTATTGTTCTTTCTTGGCGAGTCACATATTTATATGTGTTGCAAGATTAATCTTTCACAACTAGGTCTGGTACTGAAACTGAATGTTATGTTTTGCTATACCATCAAGAGCCCATTTGACCACATAGGCTCCTTTCTGGCATTGGTGCTCCTTTTCTAGCATGGGTGCTCCTCAGTATTCTCCTTATATTTCATTCCCTCGTGCGACAATGAGAGTGCTATTTCGATTGGTCATAATGATGTGTTTCATGAATGCATCCAACATATTAAAATTGATTGTCATTTTGTAGCTCAAAAATGATCAAATTCCCCCTATTTCTACCAAGGAGCAGATTAAATACCAAAGCTCTTCCAGGTTGTTTCCTTGATCTCATCTAGTCCAAACTCAATTTAGTTCATTCTTCATCATTTCGAGTTTTAGGGGACGTGTTTAAGTTTATATTAGCATTTGTCATTTGCCATTTAGTTATTATATAGTGTAAGGGCTAATACTGTAACCTTTTTTTAACTTTGCTTCGATATAGATAGTTCTCTCTTTCTCTTTGTATTGTAAAATGACTTCATTATCTTAGTAAAACCTATTGGCTCCATGGTCAACTCTCCAATCATCTTCGTTTTCGGCCATTGTTTCATTGATGCACCGGTGCTAACACCGATTATTCTAAAATCAAATAACTTTAGCAGAGAAATATGCAAATATGATGGACAACAAACATGCTACACAAATTAAGCTACCTATAGCATGCAAAAGGGTCAATAACTTCTACCATTTTTGAATTAGATAAGCCAAAGCCAATAAAATTGGGCATTTTTGGAACCTGTAGAGATTACATGCATATTCATTCAATCACTATTTCTGATAAGCCTCCCTCTCCATTGAATCCAACTCCAAACTTTTGGTGCCCACAACATTCCTTTCTGAAGCTCTTGCAACACCCACCTACATTCCTCTTCTCCAAGCCATGGTTCTGGCAACAATGTCTTACCATTTTCCCCAACTCCTCTTCACTGATGTACTCTTTTACATGGCGATGGTGATGATCATCCTTACAGATATGGCTCGTATCGCTACATGTTTCATGGTTCGAGTGGCTTTTCTTGTGGATTATTTGGTTAAGAAAGTCGTTCCCATGCTTCTTAAACCCATTCCCACAACTATGACTTCTTTTAATATGTGATTCCATATCTGAGTCGTGATGACCACAACAACCATGCTTGATTTCAGTCGCTTGTACACTGTGCTTTGCCTCGTGTATTTCAAAGTTGTCATTTTCATCAGCAGCATGTGACTCATCATGACCGCAACAGCCATGGTTTCCGTTTCCTTCTTCCTTGTGCTTGACCTCATGTACCTCATCCACATGGGCACAACAACCATGGCTACTACCTTCTTTTTGTTGAACCATGTGATTGACCTCGTGGACGTCCTTATCGTCAGAATGAGCACAACAACCATGGCTGCTTTCCTTTTGTTGTACCATGTGCTTCACCTCATGGACGTCCTCATCATCAGAATGAGCAGAACAACTATGTTTGCTTCCTATGTCTTGTACCAAGTGCTTTACCACATGTACGTCTTCATCATCATGAGCAGAACAATCGTCTTTTGGTTGTACACAGAGCTTCACCTCATGTCCATGATCAACCTGTTGACAACAACCGTGATGCTCTTCTGCTTCTTGCACTGTCTTACTGACCTCATGCAAGTGATCGTGGTGAGCACAGCAATCTCGTTTTTTGCCAACATCTGAACACTTCTTGGAATGACAATTTCCGGTATCATGCTTATCAGACGAGCAATTGACATGCTTGTGAGATGAATGGCAATGCTTATGCTTATGTTGTGAACACGGATGTTTTTTTGCGCTTTTTGAGACCGTTGTAGCTCTTAGCAGAAGCATGCTGTTAAGAATCACTACCAAGCAGGTCCCAACATCTGCTAGAACTGCTGCCCAGACTAATGGATGGCCAGCAAGAGCCAAGGCAATTATAGCAGCCTTGGTAACAATAGCCAGAAAAATATTTTCAAATATCTTTCTTCGGGTTTGTCTTGCGATTCTCACTGCTATTGGAATCTTGCGGATGTCATTGGACATCAGAATCACGTGCCCAGTCTCAGTAGCAAGTGATGATCCCGAGATCCCCATCGAGATCCCAATATCTGCGGTGGCTAAAGCAGGTGCATCATTGATCCCATCTCCTACCATTGCTGTTGGAGCTACCATCTGAAAATCTTTAATGATTCGAGCTTTATCTTGAGGTAGAAGTTCTGCGTGCACAATATCTATTGCACCCCCTAACTGCAAAAATCATGCGAAAATAAGCACCAAAAATTAGATGAAAGCAATTCTGAAACAAGTTTGGTCTTAGAGTTTCACCTGATTTTGTGCATGATTGGTTGCAGCTTGACAATCTCCTGTAAGCATGGCTGTTTTAATACCCATTGATTGGAGTTCTTTGAGTGCTTCCTTTGCACCAGTTCGACATGCATCAGAGAGACTGAACACTCCGGCAAGGGAAGAGCCCTCAAATATGTACCCATTTGACTTTCCATCCACACTTTCATGTGCATTATTCAAGAATAAATCTACAAAATAATACTGATTAATAACATAATAAGGGTGTAATAAAATGATATTCAAATAACGGATGGTGAACATCTTCACCTGCTGAACAGCCTGCTCTAATCGCAATCTTCTTGTTCCCAATGTAAACATTTTTTCCTTCAATTTTCCCGTAAATCCCTTCTCCTGGAAAATTGTCAAATTCATCAACCTTTTCTGGTTGTGGTTTGACTGAGTGTGACTGTGCATAGTCTATAAGTGCTGCAGCCATGGGATGGCTAGCCTTGCTCTCGATGCTTGAAACCCTTTAAATTTTCAAACAAGTATCACTCTCAGAATAAAACCGAGAAATGTAACTAAACCAAAAGATTGATCAAATTAACGAGATGTGTCGATAATTTACCAGTATAGCAGTTTGTCTAGACTGATGCCATCTATGAGTGAATTGAAGTTTGAAACTGAGAACTCTCCTCTAGTAATCGTGCCCGTTTTGTCAAAGGCAAACACTTTAACTTTAGAAAGCGTTTCTAGGTAGTCCGCACCTTTGATCAGAAGTCCGGTTGTAGCTGCCTTTGATAGTGCACAAAATGTAGCGACGGGTGTGGAGAGTATGAGCGCACATGGGCATGCACTCACCAGAACTACTAAAGCCAAATGATACCATTTCTGTAAGTTGTGAAGTCTCATTGCAGCTGGTATCACAGCCAAGCAAGTTGCTACGATAACAACAGCTGCAGATCCCCAAAAATGAGAAGTGGTGTAAGCAAGAATATATAACCGACCCATCAGTCCAACAAAGTGTCTACTTAGCCCATGACATTTTTAAAAGAATTCTATAAAAGGCTAATAAGAGTATTTACTTCTGTGTCCTATTAAGTGGTCTAACTTCGTAGATCAAAGTTCTTACACCACATAGCTTTATTCTAACAACTTATTATAACATCTTCAGTTATGACACTCAATTCTTGGTTCTATAAACTACAACGTTCATGAGTGTATTTCATGGATTAGCAAGTCTTACCTGGGGTATAGTATTTGGCACATTCATCCATATATCTCTGAGTTTTACATTTATTATTTTGTGCTTCTTCAACAAGCTTTGCCATTCTTGCTACTACACAATCTTCTGCTAGGACAGTAGTGTTAATGCTAATGTAACCTGGAGAAGGATGATCAAATCAAATGAAGGGTTAGCAGAAAAGCCACATACTCCATTAATCCCTTTTTCCTCCAAGAAAGTACCATTTGATATTTGAAGTCAAAAGTACAATTTTTAAATCAATAAATATTCTACATATTTCACAAACTAAACAACAATAAGGTTGGGAAACGTGATATATGGTCAAAAACAATTATTACATATAATCAATAATAAAAAATTATTACAACAATCAATATTAAATTTGGAAAGTAGTGTTTTTGATCTCAAAAGTCAATGCATACTTCTTGTTTTTCAATGGAGAGTATAATTTTCAGTTGGTGATTGAACTAGTTGAAAGAAAGTAAATCAAGAGAGGGTTCAGTACCATTTAGATTGATTGTGCCAGCCCAAACAGTGGAATCTACTTGTTTTGCTACAGGAAATGACTCTCCGGTTAGAGCTTTCTCATCGACTTCACATCTCCCTTCTACAACAATACCATCAATTGGAATAATATCTCCGGCCTTAACAGCGAGCTTCGTGTTAACCATGACTCCGCTAGCATTAACTTCGTCACCATTGCTGGCCAACACAGCTTTTTGAGGAGCCATGTTCATTAACGATGACATCACAGCAGTGGCCTGCAAATATATAATTTGCATCAAGATTGTCTAATACTAGTACTCCCAAGTAATTTCCATATTCAGGTACTTTTTTGAAAATATATATATTGAAAACTATATGACTACTAGAATATTGAGTATCCGTGAACACAATTTTCGACCATAGCCGAAATTTTTTAACGGATTCATACTGTTAGAATCGGTCTAATTTTTTATTTATTTAACTATAAGAAACCGTGAAGACGAGTTTCATGTGAAAACCAAACCCCATGAAAACAACCAAAACCATCCAATGAATTTGATTTTAAACTATGCTTCATATGTTTTCACATGTTTTTTCTTTTGTGTGAGTATGTATATATTTCATGTATAAACGTATTTTTGTGTTTTTAGCACACACTATATATTCATTGATGTTTCATCTATTAAAGAACATTGTATTAACATTGCATGTTCACATGAGGTGCAACGCATACAAACTGCATTACATGGTTTCTTACTTTAAAATGGTTTTTATATGATTTGCTCCATGTATACATACATGTATATGTATATCCCATCCAACTGTGTAGAAGTATTCTCACCATATATAACTCTTATTCTCACCATATATAACTCTTATTCTCACGGGAACCCAACTTTATATATATACACCCATACACAGAGAGAGAGAGAGAGAGAGAGAGAGAGAGAGAGAGAGAGAGAGAGAGAGNAGAGAGAGAGAGAGAGAGAGAGAGAGAGAGAGAGAGAGAGAGAGAGAGAGGGGCTGCAACAAAACCTTATGGGCTGCCCTTGACTCGAGCCATTCTGCTGTAGTGAATAAGAACACAATGGTGCCAGCTTCCCAGTAATCCTTAAGAAATATTGAACCCCCAACTGCAAAATATTTACTTTAAACTATGTGAGACTCTTTACTTCAGAAACTAGTTGGTCTACTATTGAAATCCATTTTTCAAATTTCAGAAGTTCATATTATAATTTGTTTGTCAAGAATTGAAAAGGAATTGGTAACTATACTAAGCTATACAATATTGACCTAAAAAACAAACTAACATCGACATCAAATTAAAAGGAGACTTAAATAATGGGACAAAGGGTATGATGCATCTTCGAACTTTTCCTTTTACCCTTTTCCTATTGGCATAGAACCATTTCATACTTTTTTTCCCAATCAACCACATAACTTTGGGTTTTTTGTCCTTACCTCACCTTGGTTAATTTGCTCCAATACATTGATGGAACTTTTGATTTTGCAAATGCCACCCATAAACGGTTTGTATGGCCAACTAACTATTCTAAAAGCCATGCATATGGCTGTGTAACCATCTGCCATATATGTCAAGCAAACAATCCAACAGACGGTAAATGTAAAGATTTTAGGTTTAGCAAAAGTGTTTTTTCATCGATTAGTTTCCTGTTTCAAGATTTGCTTACACAAATGAAAGCTACATATCTTACACCCGAAACAATTGAGAGTTTGGCCTAAGATATTCACCAACTTGTCCCATACGATTAACATGAATAAGGATTCATATAATTCGGACGCAATGTTGGTCAGCAGAGGTGGAACCCCGTAAGGGCCTGTGGGGCCATGACCTCCACGCTTTTTGACTCAAATAGAGTTCATGAACTAAGAAGAATAAATATTGTTGGCAGCTCAATTGGTTATCATCTTATTGCTATATTCTTGAGATCACACTCTCAAATCCCATATGTTGCATTTTTCAATTTCTCATTTTTCCTTCCAGTACACATTAAATTATTAATATCAATTATATATAAGAATTAGTTTTTAAATAATATAAAAAATAATGTTTAATTTTGTATGTAGTGTTGTATTACTAATCTAAAGGTTTTTGTTTTTATAGTTCATAATAGTATAAAAACATAACAAAATTGTATTACTATTTTTCGGTCAATAGTGTTAAAGGTTTTGAGTTTTAAAGGTCGTTTACCCAAACACTTATCCAGGATGGAATTACCGGTAAGATTTACACTATCACTTACCTTGCTGTGTAAAACTTGTGCTTCATCAAAATGACATCATATATATGCAACAATTTACCCACTAAACACTAGCCGGGTAAGATTCCTCACTGTTACTTACAAAGGTAAGACCCTTGATCCTTACGTGTAAGATTCCTGGTTCTTCCATTACAAATTTTCTCTAAAATTTAATATTAGATCATAGGAAAAAAGAACAAGAAAAGTTGTGTGCGTATCATTTGCTCTAAATTTTTGTAATAGTATATTTTGGCCCCAAGCTACTAACGGTCATGTTCCACCCATGACAGGAAGGACCATAATTTTGGTGTAAAAAACGCAGCGATATTTATACAAGTGATTGCAGCTTCTACCTTTGATAAATATTTGATCAGTGTACTCAAGAGTGAAAGAAAATTCCCCAGGAATATAAAGTTTCAATAGCTAATATCCAATATAATTTAGCCATGCCAATAACATGTTCATAAAGGAGATCGAAACTGCAAACACATTATTTGCTTTTAGAAAGACATTATTCGTACAAAAAGAAATGTCAATTAACTTTTGAATGTTAAGTGAATATTTTTGTTGATTTTTGGTTAGGATTAAATGTATCAGTAATCACATTGTTACATCATCATCAAAACAATTAAAATTAGAATAATTAATATGATCTATGCGTAAAAACTGAAATGAATATTAGGTTCAGTTAATTATTATTTTATTTTTACAAAAGGATAACAAAACATATTAATATGCATATATTATATAAATACATTAAACACATACATAGAAAGAATTTCAAACGAGAACAATAATTAAATAAACATGAAAACAGTTAAATCATGTGCAAAATCACACGTGTTTTCCTACTAACAGTCAACACAAGGGTGTACGGACAGCGTGCGTGGTGCCTCACGACCTCAGGTCACAGCCAAAATCGGTCACATGAATCACATTAAAATTAGTGTAAAATCACATAGGATTTTATATATTTTTTTATATTATTTGGTTAATTTCGTATGAATCTCACACTACATTTGTAAATTGATTAAGTTATAAATTTATTCCACATGTGTAGAGTTGTTTTTAATGTAAACTTGGTGTAAAAATAAAATTGCTAATTAAAATCAGCAATATAATTAAACAATAAAAATCTAATATCCAAAATAAAGAAGAATATAGACATGACTAGGTTTATAATTTACAAATTATTACCTTGGATTTTGAAATTCTTAGGAGATTTTGGTTCGCAGAATAGAATTTGCAGAAATGAAACTTATCAAAATAATTTAACTTTGAAAGAACTACCATGGAATTTGATGAAATTTAACCACACGTATGGTTGGCGGGAATTGGAATGGAATCTCTTAAAAGAATTGGAATTTTCATTAGCGGAATGGTGATATCGACCACTACCCTAACCCTCAACAACCTCGCCCCTTGTCCCCCAAGCCCCCGTAAACTCCCTGACCACCCCCACCTTACCCCTAACCACCCACACCGTTTTGCCCGACCAACCTAACCTATCCTCGGTCCCCTTGCTTGGGGGTTGAGGTGGCAGTTGTGATGACGATAATAGTGGTATTAGTGGTGCCACCGCTATGTACCCACCCTCACTCTACCCCGACGATCGCCCCTCCCCCGCCACCCTATCCCAACCACCCTTACCCTAGCCCCAAGCCTCCACCACCGCTGGTTCCCTTTACTTGCCCACCTGCCTACCCCCTCCACCCTCATATAAGTGGTGGCGATATAGGGTGTCCAAGGGGGGGTTGTTATGACGGTAGTAATGGCATGGTGAAGGGTGGGGTGCTAGGTGTGACGATAACGATAGTGGCATAGTGGTCAGTAAGGTAGGGTGGGGAGGGTGGGGGTAGGGTGTATAGGGCGAATGGGTGGTAGTTGTGACGACGACAATATTTGCATTATGGTTGTGCAAAACTTGACCCTACCCAAACTACTCAAAAAAAACTGACCTATGAAAATCAAACATACCTGATCCATGTGTCCTAAACAAATCCGAGGTGCGACATCCGACTTTTATATCAGGTTAGATGGATTGCGTAGGATCTCCTGATCCATCCCTCAAACCCGTCCGAAACCCGAATAAACCAAAAAGACGGTTCTTAATCTTAAACCAGTCCTCTATCTTTCTCTACTCTCTTGACCGCCATCGCCCATCGAATCGAATCATCTTGAGTTCTTGACTACCATCTAATCGAATCAGTCTTCTCTCTGTCTCTCGTCGATACCTTAAACCTAATCGACTCAGTCCTCTAACCCTATCTCGTCGACGACGGTTAGAAGCCCAAAACAGGGCCCGACTCATACACAGCTCCTGTTTAAATTCTATCCACCATTAATTTTATTAAAAACATAATGCTTGTACTTGCATGGTTTTCTTTTTGAATGATAGAAAAATTGGTGTGAAAATCTAAATATTTCAGCCTAATCGACTCACCACTAATTCACCCGAGCCCCGACCCGAGATTGTCCAAATCCGGATTTCCCCGAACCAGACCTCCCTCCGAATCCCACATCCATAATATGAGGTATGTTTTTTTCACCTGAAAGCAATTGGGTTTGTCCTTTTATACCGACCCGTGCTCACCCCTGATTATCATGGTGGTCGGTGGCTTGGGGTGGTGGGCGGGGAGTGAGGGTGGTTGATGTGACGACAACAGTTGTGTCATGGTGATCGGGTGGGAGGATGGTGTGGGGGTGGTACGGGTGACTGACAAGGTGACAGTTGTAACGACGACTATAGTAGCATGGTGGTGAGTGCTAGGGTGAGGTGGGGTGGTGTAGGGTGGCAACTATGATGACGACAATGGTGGCATGGTGGTCAATGGTGGGTTAGGGTGGTTGGCGGTTGTGATGGCGACAATAGTGATGTGGTGGTGGGTGGGGGTTAGAAGTGGAGGCGTAACAATGATAATAGTAGCGTGGTCATGGTGGATACGGGAGCAGGGGGTGGGCGGTGTTGGTTAAGTTGGATGCAAAAAGATGGGATTCAATTCATTCATTTATATTAAAAAAATGAAATCATTAACTGTGGAATTCAATAAAATTTACAGAATTTCATCCATTTCAAAAGTGAACCAAACAATTGTCATTCCTATTCTGTCAAATTCCTTCAAATTATGCGAATCAAACAAACCCTTAATAGTTACCCAAGTCAATGAGCCAATAATAAGAATATTTGAGTTTGTATTACAGTATTCTGCGGAAGATGCATACACCGTATTAAAATGAATTTCTTAAATTTATAAATTAATAATTATATATTTATATATAGGTGAAAGATCATGTGAGAATAAAAATTAAGGTGAGAATCGTAAGGTCTCAAACCCACCTATCTTGATACAGGGATTGATCCGGTGCATTTTGGTGCATCCCATCCTAATGTACATCTAAGGATGAAGATCTCTTTTTATTTTTCGCACCTTTAATTTTAATTTTCATCGGTACCTAACCCTTATATATAAAAACATTACAATAACTTGTTATAATAAAGTTCGATAAATAATTTTTTTATCTTTATTACAATATAACTTAAAGTAAATTATCATTTTTTTAATTGTAAAAATATTTTGAAATTCAAGTTTTGGAAATTAATTCTTGTCATCTTTTGATTTGAAGAATCCTTTTTGGTTCTTTTCTTCCAGATTTTTGTTCTTAGTTTTATTACATATTAAAAGTTCAGAAGTTTTATTAAGAATAAATTTTAATAAACCCCAAAAAATGGTCAAAATTATATCATTCATACCATTTTTGTTTTGTTTTGAACAAATTAAATAAACCCATAATTGAAGTTTTGTTATGTTTTTAATTATATTTATCGTTCGGCAAACAGATTTCTTATTTAAGTTTTTCTTATTAAATTAAATATATTATTTAAGTCCAATATAATAAATATCCCATTTCATTTCTATCTTTTCTCTTTTTAATTATAAACACTTTTTATTTATGGCATTGCTACAACGGTTATTCTTACTAATAAAAGAATATGGTACCAAATTTGTAACGATGCAATGGATTTCAAAATATAATTCATTCGGCATTTAATTACCATACCTGCAATGAGCATGAGGGTGTTCACATCAAGTCTGAGATTGCGTAACGATGCAATGGATTTCAAAATCATGGGAATAATACCGACTGCAACAGCTCCAAGCGCTAGCCATTTAAATGGTGAAAAAACATAACTCAAAAATGATAACAAAAGCAATACTCCACAAGCCACTGCAAAGGGGCTTGGCCACTTGTTCCGATAGTTTCCATCTCCTTTGACTCTCACATTTGCTTCCAATCGAGCTTGGTTTAGTGCCTTAACTAAAACAAATACAAAAAGATACCACTTAATGTACCATACAAATAAAAGAATTCGATATTTAATGTGTAAACTATATCAAGATGATTAAAATAAAACTACTTCCTTTTTAACACTATCCTACTACTTTTCGTTTTTATTTCATTTTCTGATCAAGATGATTAAAACGAAGTATTTAATCAATTAAGACATATGTAGTTTGTTAAAAATAATTACAATGTTCGGATAAGATGATCTTGTCTTATCATCTCATCTGAACACCCCCTAAATTTGCTAGCATTTAGAGTAACTCGACTTGAGGAAACTTCCTACTTGTGGTACGAGCTTATTGAAGGTGAAAGGAAAGAAACAGGCACACAAATCTATCTTTTTAAAAGATAAAGCCCTAGATTTCATGAAAGAGGTGGGTTTTTCCACAAGTGATCGATCTAAACCATTCAACACCCATATTAGGGTCCACATCCAATATTAAAGGTTTTTTCGACTTTTTATCATAAAGAAAAGTCTATGTACATTTTATCAGAGTTTATTTCATATAATATTTACATATTATCATTTGTGTGTTTTTTGTATATGAAACATTGTTTTCACATTTCTTACAAAAATTCTTTGCAATATATGTTATTTTGTCATGATATGGTTATAATTGTTTTTTTAGTTAAAGGTATAATTATTAGTATATCACCATTATGTATCATGCTTTCCGAGCCCCAAAGCAAAGCTCTATATTTGGAAAACCAAGAACCGTTACGTTGCTATCATCCACTTTTTATGCACTATTGCTGAAAGAATGTATGATTTTCATTTAAAATTTTAAACATATATTTACATTTAGAATTAATAGTGTAACTTTGTGCAACTACTTCGTCTTGAATCCAACAATACTAGTATAATCTTTTTTTTTTCTTATGAGTTTATTATGAAAATAAATTTCTTAGTTTTTGAAACACCAAAAACCTAATATTTTTGCCAATAAATTGAATGATCGGTTTATGTTACATTTCCACATTTTCTTGATTGAGAATATATAACGAGTAAATACATACTTTTAACGTTATA